TTCCTGTCAACTGCAGTTTCAACCCCAAATTCCTTCCACTTGCCAACAGCCCCTAACAAATTTGCATTGTCAAAATGCACACTTATCAAAAGTAATTTCATTTGTGAAGAGTTTTTATGAGGCTAATAAAACTTTAAAGTTCCTGACTCACGAAGGTTCAGGAATGACTTTAACAATATGCAGTTGCTGAAAAGAGATGCTTTTCAAGAAAACAGGCAAACTCAAGGGGAAAAAAAAAAAAAATCATCAAAGTTAATATCCAGGCTAATACCAATCAGCAAGACAGCACATGACATTAGATTTAAACCAGACGGATGCAAATCTCTGCTGGTGAGAGGGGCAGAGGCAGTTTCCCAATGTGGTCTGAGTTAAAACAGTGTGAGGGAACAGTAGCTTACAGTTGTCAGGTCCGATCAGAACAGGGTCTCCCAGGCCAGTTTAAGACAGCTCTGCAGTGTAATGATTTACAGGGCTGGGACCCCCAATAATTAGGGTAAGTTTAGAGAAAAGTAAGTGATGGCTCTAACTGGTTAAAAGGAAGGAATAATGAAGCAGAAAGTTAATGAAATCTGAAGCAAACAGCCTTCGGCTTGGGGCTACTAGCCGTGCTTCTCCAAAGGCTGGGAGCATATGCCTGTTAATCGGACAGACGGGAACAAGGCGCACATGTATGCATCCCTGTGCTGCGATCAAGGGGCATGTTCAGAGGTAATCTCCGGAAAATACAACCCAAAACGTTCGAACTGCTGTGAATGGACTCTGACTGGGGCCATTAGGAAAGCCACACAAAGATGCATGCAGTTTACTACAAACACGTCCAGCTGGAAGACAGCTCCGGCGCACAGCCGTCTGAAATGGTTCTTCTGAATTAGGTAAACTGAACTGTATGATGCCAATACCGGGTAATACAAATCCCCTACGTTTTCCTTCTCTGACCAAGCATAATGGGTTTCTAGGGCTGGGCTGAAAGTTTCTGGATATGATGCAGAAGAGTAGCTTAAAAACAAGCTCCAAACCAATTTATGCTTTTAATTAAAGTCAGATTATCACTGTTTCAGCTCACACTGATCCAATTTGCAAAAGAACGATCTCCCCAAATTACCCACTAAGGCAGCATCCAATTCCAACTGAAGGCACATCTCTAGCAAACTTACAGCCTAATTCATTAAATTTTTTTTTCAGAGTATAATAATGAGTAGTAGACCATCTCATTAGCTATTTTCCTCCTCAGGCTTCAAACTCCCTTCCCAAAAAAGACAGATCGTGTCTTTCTAGGTATATTTCCATACAAAACACTTATTAACAGGCTGTTGCTGTTATCAATTTACATAAACTAAATGTGCAGCCCTCTGGTACGTATCCCAAAAATAACCAACAACTTCACTGAATTTATACCAACCAACAAACATGGGGAGGGGGTTGTTGTTTTTTCCCATATTTTAATAGAAAATATGTTGCTATGTTCGTTAACACACCCATGCCATCTGTTGGGTTGAGAACTGATGCATTTTCTTAGAACCACTATGTTTTAGATCTGTCTGCCTAGATACCCCAGGAATGGAAACGTTTCCCTTCCATGATAAAATACCTCCAGTCACTAAAGTTTCCACACCAGGATTCAATTTATGTTTTTAATTGTGAGACAAACTGAGAGGACCTGGCTGCCAAAGGCAGAGCTCATGAGGGGGCTGACTCAGTGCCTAGCCTCCCTACAATGAAGAAAATCCCATTGATATTAGTGGGGTGTATCAGATCCCCACCCAGGCTTCTGATAAAACATTTAATGGGTAAATAAAAAAATGTACTAAAACCTCTGACTAAATGTACTAAAAACATGGAGGAAAGGGAGAGCCCTTTCTGCCTCATTATACAGGGAAACGTAGATGCTATTATTATTGCAGGATCTATGCAAAAGCTAAAATCTCAAGTTAGGTAAACTACTTCAACATTGTAACAGTAGAGGGAAAAGTAGTCCTTAATACAATAATGTCTTTATAGTAGTAGATGCAAGAATAAACATGTTTTCTAAACGCTATGTAAAATCCCTGCCAAGAACGGACAAACTGGAATTTTTAAGGAACGGTGAAAGAAATGATTTACCCTGTTCTTCACACGAAAACTACAACATCAGATAATACTCTGTCATGAATGAATAGCTGATAAAGTAATAAACCTGATCATTAACTAAATGATTCCATCCCCAGGTATCCTGGGATGGTGGTATACTCATTGGGTCTCACGTGGGTTGGGCTCTTTATCAAACTGAACAAGAGAGAGAGACTTCATGGTAAACAGTATATTATTGAAATAAGCTAATTTTGCAACTTGTGCTGGAAAACCAACTGGGAAAAAACCTGTTGGTCAGGGTGCCTATTTTAGCATCCCTTCTGTTTGACTGTGACGAGGACATGGGAAGATGTTCATTACCACACGCTATGTCAACTGGAGAAGATAAAGGTTTCAGTGACGCAGCATCGCCAACAAATCCACCACCACCCAGACACACAGACACTGAAATTAAAAATGGGAATACGCGTGTTGTCAGCTCAATTGGCACTCATTAAACCTAATAACTAACCATCCTCATGAGTTCCTAGCTCTGAATTATCAAATCTGCAAATAAAACAACATCCGTCCACTTTTACACTCCAGTGGAAGAGGTGGTCCCTCGCGGCGGGGCTGTGCAGTCTCGCCATCTGGAGAATAAATCGAGTGTGAAGTACAGTATAGTTTGGGACCAAGCTCCGTGGCGGCAGCCCAGCAGTTAGTTCATTAGTCCCAAACTTGTGGGGATTAGTGTGGTATCAGCTCTACTGTCGGATGGGATCAGGCAGGCAGAGCGCGAGACTTGGGGAAGGGGGTGGTGGCAAAGAACGAGCCCCTTGGGCTTATTTATAAAACTACTCTGTAGAAGCACACCTAAACAGGTGCCTTTGGTAACAGTATTATCATAGTCTCCTACCAGCTGAATCAGTACCTTTCCTTCTCTCCTTCTGTTCTTCCCCCCACCTTTTTTCCTTTAAGTTATATGTCAAGACATAGAAATTTCCGCTTCGAAACAGAAGGAATGCCACAGAGCTGGAAGCTCAGCCACCCACTCACCCTGGACACAGTGTTAATACAGCAATAATGAAGCAAAGACGGTCAGATTAACAGAATTTTGGGGACTGCAACAGCAGATGGAAAAATGACATTTTATTTTCTTTTCAAACTGGTATGATACCCCACAAACCAGTTTTCCAGCACTGTCATTTCTAGACCTGCCTGATTTTGGTGACAAAATCTCTGCTTTGCTTTATCTTTCTTTCCCAGTCTTACACCCCCTCCTCCTTTTTTTTTTTTTTTCCTTAAGACCTTCAGGTCTTAATGTAAAGATAGAGGGTATATGTAAAGATATGTTTATGTACAGATCTCATCCCGTTAAGATCTTTTGGTAATACTTCTTCATATGGAAATGTAAATACATGATGCACTAAAATGGCAGGCCAGAATCTATCATCTTCATTGCCATAATAAGTTTGCATGTTTCAAATGGCAGAGGAAAAATTAATTACTATAATCACAATTTGAGTTATTTTTTGTGACAGGTCTGACATGGTAAAAACATACAATTATGTGTTAATGTTACTTCCCTGGAGTGGTTTGTTTACAGGACTTGACATTGCTGAATCTTTTGTCACTTATATTAGTGCATACTCTAAGAATGTGGCTCTCAAATAAGAGTTTGCAAAAGCAAAAATATATATTATATACCCACAGCGGTTTTTGGGCAAAATTGAGTTTCTGCAGAGGGAAAGCCTGACATTTTTTACACTCTTGTTTCTCCGTCAATGAGGTGATGCCATACAGAATGATACTTCATTTAGCTTCAAATTCACAGATGAGATTGGCGAGAAAAAAGACAAATCACATTAGTTTTTTAAGGAAACAAAGATAACTGCAACTGTGGAGTAGAGTGTTTCTGAGAGCAGGAGGTGCTTGGTTCACAACACCTGCCTTCTACCTTACATGCATCAGGCACTTGTGACAATAAATCTTTGAAATAGCAAATACTTATTTCCAGTTAGTCTTGTTAGCTGAAAAACTATGCATACATAGCAAAGCCTTCAGGAAGCTGTTATTAAATAATTTCTTACAATTACCTTCAAGCAGATAATCAGTTGAGGAGTTTTCAAAGACTTAGGAAGTTTTAAAACACAT